ACCCAGGCTGTTCCCATGTTCTGAAGATGACGACCTTACTAGATACTGACTTTTATATATGCCCAGGAAATAATCGAACTGCTTCGGACATTTCTAACTGTGGTGAGGCTGATGTTTATTACTGTGCTAGGTGGGGATGTGAGATAACTGGGATGGCCTCTTGTATCATGCACAAGGGCCCTATCTTTGTCTGGCGAATCTCGACCCCCAGACTTGCCTCGAACCCCCTGTGTGGCCAATGCTATTCTTACCGATGTAATCCTGTTAAAATAACCTTTACAGAGGAGGGGAAAAGGATAACTAACTGGAAGGTGGAAAGGATGTGAGGGTTGAGGTTATATTAAAAAGAATAGAGCCCAAGAGATCCAACTCATGGCTCTCCACATCCATTATGATAAGCTCAGTGCCGAAGATTACCCCCTACCTTAGGCGAACCTCGGAAAGAAGAGGTGCCAATTGGGTGAACTTCGTAAGAGGTGCCCTGACCTGAACCTCAGCAAAGAGGTGGGTCTGCCATTAAAACAAAAAGGGGGAATCTGTAGGGCACATGGGCAGCAAAGATGGCGCTGAGAGGAAGTTGAGTGGGCAGAGCCCGAGTCATTTACATTAAAATCTGATTGGATACTACGATCAGGCGAAGTGATATCAGTGCGTGAACAGCTCGTGGACAGCAGGGAAAGTATAGAAAGCTTAGGAGCATGATAGGGTGACATTTACAGTGATTGGTTGGTTCCTTTTCCTCCTCTCCCATGCCACACAGTCTTTTGCTTTAAAAAGTGCTTGCTGTGTGGTAATAAATGAGTTCCAGCTTGACTTGACTCCCTGCTGCGTCTGATTGTCTCTGGGGCTAAGGGAATCTGGGGAACAGGCGAGCTGCGCACTTACCTTTCCTCGGACCCCATCTGTCTTCCGCAGGATGGACGAAGACCCTACATCTTTTGTATGTTCTTCCCCCATGATTTAACCCGTTTTCACTGTATTTGATTCCAGTGCCCTGAATTTTGTACATACATTTTTCTAATTTGGGGAGAGGAAGGGAAATAACAAAATGCTGAAATAAGGATGCAGGTTGAATCATTGCATCAATGAGATGTACAAGACCCATGTTGAAAAGGAACTTTACAACTTCGAGGGTGGGAGAGGGAGGAGTCGGAAATGTGGGGAGGGAAGGGATGGTAGGAGAAAAACAAAGGAGGAGGTAACAAAGCTCGATAGGAAATGTACTCATTACCTTACTCATGTAACTGTAAACCTTTTGTACAGTATTTTTCCAAGAATAAATATATACAAAAAAGAAACCTCAGATCTAAACAACTGCATAGAACTAGACTTAACAGACATCTACCAAATATTTCACCCAGCAGCATCAGAATACATGTTCTCAGCCACATGGATCATTCTCCAAAATAGGCTACATTTTAGATCACAAAGCAAATCTGTACAAATTCAGAAACATTAAAATTATTCCCTGCATTCTCTCAGACCACAAGGGAATAAAATTAGAGTTCACCACCAAAAGCCACCAAAGAAAATTCTGTAACACATGGAAACTGAACAACACATTGTTGAATCACCAGTGGATCATGGAAGAGATTATAAAAGAAATTCTAATGTTTATGATATTTAACAAAAATAAACATACAAATTACCAGCTTCTTTGGGACACAGCAAAGACAAATTTATAGCTTTGAGTTCCTACATCAACCAATTGGAGAGATTTCAAATAAAAAATTTAATAATGTACCTGCAGCTCCTTGAAAAAGAGCAACAAGCCAAACCCTAATCCTGGAGATGGAAACAAATAATTAAAATTAAAACAGAATTAAATGAATTAGAGTAAAAAAAAATAGAAAGAATCAACAAACAGTTGGTTCTTTGAAAAAATTAACAAAGTTGACAGACTTAGCAAATCTAACCAAAAAACGAAGAGAACACACCCAAATAAAATCAGAGAATCAAAATATCACCACAGAAACAACCAAGATTCATATCATAAAGGAATACTTCTCAAACCTTTATGCTAACAATTTTGAAAATTTGGAAGAAATGGAAGAATATTAACAAATATTGATATACCCAAACTAAACCAAGAAGATTTAAGCCAACTAACTAGACACATATCAAGCACGAAATAGAAATAGCAATGAGACTTCCCATCCAAGGAAGGCTCAGGACCAGATGGATTCACAGCTTAATTCTACAAAGTCTTCAAAGTAGAACTCACACCAATACTCCTCAAACTCTTCAATGAAATTGAAAGTTCACTACCAACCTCATTCTATGAAACCAGCATAACCCTCATCCCAAAAACAGACAGGGACTCATCAAAGAAAGAGAACTATAGGCTGGGAAGGTGGCTCAGTGGTAGAGTGCTTGCCTTGCATGCATGAGGCCCTGGGTTCGATTCCTCAGCACCACATAAACAGAAAAAGCTGGAAGTGGCGCTGTGGCTCAAGCGGTAGAGCTCTCTCCTTGAGCTGAAGAGCTGAGGGACAGCGCCCAGGCCCAGAGTTCAGGTCCATGACCGGCAAAAAAAAAAAAAAGGAAAGAGAACTATAGGCCTATTTCTTTGATGAACATCGATGCAAAACTTCTCAACATTATTTTGGCCAATTGACTTCAACAACTCATCAAAAAAAAATCATACACCACGACCAAACAGGATTCATTTCAGGGATGCAAAGCTGGTTCAATATATGCAAATCAATTAATATAATTCATCACATCAACAAGAGCACAGCTAAGAACCACATGGTTATCTCAATCAATGCAGACAAAGCATTTGACAAGATCCAACACCCCTTGATGATGAAGGCTTAGGAAAAACTAGGAATCCATGGAACACTCCTCAATAAAGGCTGTGTATGACAAACCTACAGCCAGCATTATAGTTACTGGAAAAAAGCTAAAGCCATTTCCTCTAAACTCAAGAATAAGACAAGGATGTCCACTCTCTCTACTTCTCTTCAATTTAGTATTAGAACGCCTAGCTAGAGCAATAAGACAAGATGCACACATAAAGGGGATCCAAATGGGAAAGATGAAGTAAAACTCTCCCTCCTTGCAGATGACATGATCTTGTATTTAAAGAACCCCATGGACTCCACTCCTAAGTTACTCAAGCTGATTTGAAACTTAGGCAAAGTAGCAGGGTATAAAATTAACCCTCAAAAACCAATGGCTTTTTGTTAAAATTTTTTTGGGGGGTCCGGTCGTGGGGCTTGAACTCTGGGCCTGGGTGCTGTCCCTCAGCTCTTCAGCTCAAGGCTAGTACTCTACCACTTGAACCACAGCGCCACTTCTGGCTTTTTTTCTGCTTATGTGGTGCTGAGGAATCAAACCCAGGGCCTCAAGCATGCAAGCCAAGCGCTCTACCACTGAGCCACCTTCCCAGCCCCCAGTGGCTTTTCTGTATGTCAACAGTGAGATGAGCGCGGCTGAAATCAGGACAGCAGCTCCTTTTGTAATAGCCCCACAAGAAAATAAAATACCTAGGAGTTAACTAAAGAAGTGAAGGGCCTCTATGATGAAAACTTTAAAACCCTGAAAAAGGAAATTAAAGCAGAACTAAGGAAGTGGAAAAACCTCCCGTGCTCGTGGATAGGTAGGATTAACATCGTGAAAATGGCAATACTGCAAAGGCTATCTACAATTTCAATTATATTAAGTGAAGTAAGCCAGTCCCAAAGAAATTTAGGTCCCATAGTTTCCCTTCTTTGCAATAATTTGTATAGGTATAAGATAATCTTATCAGATAAGCAAAATATGACTATATGACATATACCATATAAGATAATGCTAAGTGAAATGAACCCCAAGATATGGACATGAGGTCTGTTGTTGTTTTAAATATACTATGTGATTTTTTTCCTTTGTATGTTCTTCCCCTATGGTATATCCCTTGTGTCACTGTACTTGATTTTGGCCCCCTGTATCTTGTATATACAGTTTTCTAATCTGGGGAGGGGAAAGGGAATGACAAAACAGTGAAACAGGACACAGGATGACCCATTGCAACAATGATACCCACAGGATAGCATATTGGAAATGAACTTTACAACTTTGAGCAGGGGATGGGGGGTGGGTAGGGAGGAGTGGGGGAGGTGGGGGAGGGAAGGGATAGTGGGACAACAACAAGGGAAGGGGTAACAATGATCGACAAGTAATGTACTCATTGCCTTACTCATGTAACTGTAATCCCTCTGTACAGCATCTTTACAATAAAATAAAAATTTTTAAAAATTCCATGTAAGGGGCTGGGAAGGTGGCTCAGTGGTAGAGCGCTTGCCTTGCATGCATGAGGCCCTGGGTTCGATTCCTCAGCACCACATAAGAAAAAAGCTGGAAGTGGTGCTGTGGCTCAAGTGGTAGAGCGCTAGCCTTGAGCTGAAGAGCTGAGGGACAGCGCCCAGGCCCAGAGTTCAGGCCCCACGACTGGACCCCCCCAAAAAAAATTCCATGTAAAAATAAATTAAATTAAAAAACAAATGTACTCATTACCTTACTTATGTAACTGTAACCACCTCTGCTCATCACCTTTTCAATAAAGATTAAAAAAATCTTTGTGATAGATAAGATAGTATTAACTAGAGTCAGAATAGCTTGTAGTTCTTATATTTGTGATGCAATATAGTTTGCTTAGATGGCAGAGACTTTCCTTTATCTTTGATTAAATATACTATGATTCTCATTAAGACCAACAAGTCATGAAAGAGATGTCTATCAAGTGTGGCTCTGTGGACTTAGTTTTGAGTCTGACAAAGAGCACTATATGGTTTTTAAGAAAATAAATGATAAGGTGAGGGAATAATAAAGTGCATGAATAACTAAAGAGGCTGACAAAGGGATAGTAAGTAGCCCCTTACTTGATTTCAGTACCAGAAAAAGATCCATATCAACATCTTCCCCACTCTGCTTTTCTGAAAGCAGACACCAATAGGTGTTATGAAAACAAAATTCATTGAATACCTCCACCCAACATTGCTTCTTCCCCTACTCACTTCTTCTTGACACAGTTCGCAGTAGACAGGATCCACCACCGACTCAAAACAATTCCTTGACAAGATCCGGATATCGAAGCCATCCACGGTATTTCACTTAGGCTATCCAATGATGCTGCGCCTAGAATCAATGAGCCCTCGCCCAATTTTGAATCTTTAGGCACTGTAAAAAAAAAAAAAGGAAAAAAAAAGGGGGGAAGCATGGTTAGAATGAGAAGGGAAAAATAACAATGAAAACCAATTTTTCTTAATGCTATCACATTTCTAGTTTTAGAGTTAGCCTACTCAGTTTGAATGGCCTCAGGTGGGAAGTTTCAATTACCTACTCACTATGGCTTAATTTTCACATTACTTACCATACTATTACTTATGTGTGAGTGAATGTGAATAATATTCTTACTATAACCACAATCTGATACTTGGGTTCCTCCCTCCTTTCCTGAGCACTTATTAAAGGAAATCTAGAGTTAGAATAAAGGATAGTACTCCCCAAATGTTCCATCTAACACAGGGAGATTAAAAACAAGTAGGAGAAAGCAGAGGGATGAAGTGGAGACGAAGGAGAAATGTAAAATCAGAATAGGATGAGAAGAGAAACAGCTGCTGGAGAAGAGGTGTGTGTGCGTGAAATAGTTTAGAAATGAATAGGAAGTAAGAGAAAGGAGGTTGGGGAAAAGCAGGTAGGACTTTAGACATTCAAGGGAAACAGAAAGTGAAATAGATGTTTAAGTTTCTATAACTTACCAACAAAGCAGTAAGGCAGGAAAAAAAAGACATAGTAGAGACGAAGTAGACGCTCCATACTGGCTCCAGGGGGAAGAGACAGTGTGCACTCCTGGGGCACCAGCAGCTCTACTGACTTAGAGACAGAATTCATAGGTAATAAGAATGTATGACATCAAGAGGCTACTATGAAATCACTTCCTCTTCCCCAATTACCTTAGAGCTGCTGGAGGTGAGGGAGTTGGCATAGCAACATGGGGGGGAGGGGTTGTTAGTTTGTTTTTTGTACTAGAAGACATTTTGTTTGTTAGGGTAGAGTTGATATACAGAAGGGTTATAGTTACATGAATCAGGTAATCAGTAATGGATACAATTCTTTTTTATATATGTCTCCCCTTCCCTTGCTCTCAGCAACATAGCTTAAAATGAAACATTATAAGCTTTAACATTTTCACTAGGCAGAGAGCTTATGTAGGTTCCAATCAGTAAGATGTTCTTTCATCCATTACAAGGACTAAGTTGTTACCACATCATTATTAACTTTTTCTATACATGCTTTTCACTTCTTTTGGTTTTTTGACAGTTCTGGGGTTTGAACTCAGGTCACCAGTACTGTCCCTGAGCTCTGTGTGTGTGTGTGTGGTGTGTTTGTGTGTGTGTGTTCTTTTCCCATGGTTTAACCCATTTTCACTGTATTTGATTCTGGTGCCCTGCATCTTGTATATACATTTTTCTAATTTGGGGAGAGGAAGGGAAATAACAAAATGCTGAAATAAGGATACAGGTTGAATCATTGCATCAATGAGATGTACAAGACCCCATGTTGAAAAGGAACTTTACAATTTCGGGGTGGGGGTGGGAGGAGTTGGAGAGGTGGGGAGGGAAGGGATGGTAAGGGAAAAACAAAGGAGGAGGTAACAATAGGAAATGTACTCATTACCTTACTCATGTAACTATAACACCTCTGTACAATATTTTTACAATTAAAAAAGTTTTAATTTAAAATTTTAAAAAAATCTGACACCTTTTATAACCCCATTTCTTTTTTTTGGGGGGGAGGGTCCGGTCGTGGGGCCTGAACTCTGGGCCTGGGCACTGTCCCTCAGCTCTTCAGCTCAAGGCTAGCCCTCTACTACTTGAGCCACAGCGCCACTTCCGGCTTTTAATTTTTTGCGTATGTGGTGCTGAGGAATCGAACCCAGGGCCTCGAGCATTCAAGGCAAGCGCTCTACCACTGAGCCACCTTCCCAGCCCATACAACCCCATTTCTTAAGAGAAGAACTTTAAATCTCTTGCAAAGGCCACATTTGCATTGAGGACTAAGTTTCTACATGAATTTTGGAGAGTACATCATTGGAAACAAGGGAAAACCCCAATACGCTCTTTAGACTTAATCTGTTGCACTTTTGTTATTTTTTCTGTGCAACACCTGGGGCTTGAACTCAGAGCCTGGGCACTGTCCCTGAGCTTCTTTTGCTCAAGGTTAGAACTCTGCCACTTGAGCCACAGCACCACTTCTAGCTTTAACTGTTTGTGTGGTACTGAGGAATTGAACCCAGGTCTCACGCATGCTAGGCAAGCACTTTACCACCTTCCCAGCCCCTGGCTTTAAAAAAAAAAAATTTTTTTTTGGAGATAAACATCTCATGGACTTTCCTGCCCAGGCTGGCTTTGAACCACAATCCTCAGACCTTAGCCTCCTGAGTAGCTAGGAGTGCAGGCGTGAGTTACTAGCAACTGGCTTTTTCTTCACTTAAAAAAAATCACCAAGTATAGCCATTGAGTAATATGTTAATATTACTAGCTTTGCTGCAGTAAACACCTCTGACATATGGGTCGTTGATGATAATGTTTGCCTAAGTTGTTTTTCAGAACCTTAGAAGCCACATTTGTCTGTCTTGAACCAGTTGAAGCCATTGACTCTTCACTTAGCCCTGCATGTTTCTCATGGATGACTTCTTGATATCAAGCAGCTGAAAACTCCACCCTCAGGTCACATTAATGTCCTAAGAAGCAATATGAAGATTAATTATGCATGCACAGGTTAGTCATTAATTCATTTTTTACTTAGAATTTTATTTTATTTATTTTTGATGGTGTTGGGGATTAAACTCAGGGCTTTGAGCACACTTAGCTTGCTTGCTCAGCTAATGCTCCACCACTTAAGCTATGCCTCTGGCCCTGCTTTGTTTTGGAGATGGAGTCTTAAAGACTTTTCTGCCTGGGCTGGCTCAAATTATGAAACTCCAGATTTCAGCCTCTTGAGTAGCCAGGATTACAGGCATGAGCTACCCATATTAGGCCAATAGTTCCATTTTTTTTTAATAGTACTGAGGTTTGAACTCAGGGCCTTGTGCTTTCTAGGCAGGTACTCTACCATTTGAACCACACTTTCGCCTTTGAGATTTTGGTATACAGACCATCATGCCATCTGCAAATAGAGACAGTTTTACTTTTTCTTTTCAAATATTTGTCTTTTTCTAATTTTCTTACCTTATCGTTGTTACCTTACTACTAGTACTTCCAGCAAAATATTGAATAAGAGTGAACGAGTAGATATACTTGTCTTGTTCTGGTCTTACAGCAAAAGGATCTAATATCTCTCGTCACTTACTATGATTTATATAGATAGGATATTTGTAAATATTCTGCAGCAAGTTAGGGGAGTTAGCCTATAATATTAAGTGGATGAACTATTTTTATCGTGAATGAATATTGGATATTTCAAGTGCCTCTGCATCTTTGTTATTAAATTTCCAAGAGAATGTATTATTATCAGGGAACACATTCCCTCATTTTGATTCTTTCTAATTTGTTTAAATTCTAGTGTGATAGAAGTTTCATAGGTGCTTGAAAGAGTATCTTTTCTATTTTTGGTATGTGATACTGATCGATGAGGTGGTTTCGTTCTAAATCTTGCTGTTTTTCTTTTAGGTAATAGACAAGTTTGAATTTTCTAATGAAAATCATTGCTTTCCATTTTATCAATTTGGACTTAATGTAAGAACAATTTTAACACTTGTTTCTATGCTATAGGTGGTTAGTCTCAATGAATATGAAATTAAGTTTATTTAAACTTGTTAATGTTTATTTTGAGATTTGGAGTGTTGAGGATTAAACCCAGGGCTTAGTGCATGCTAAATGAGTGTTATACCTCTAGCCCTAATTTACTTGTCAATTTGTTTCATATTCCCAATTGATAGAAATGGGTTGGTAGACAAATGACATGTATAGATTATGAAATAAATAGTAAAGAAAAGCACTATCAGTGAACAGGATTCTAACATAAATTTTAAATTCTAATCTGTGTAGAAGCATATGAATTAATGAATGCCATAAATCTGTAAAAAGCTTATAAAGAAAAATTATGGCCAGGAAAAATATTTCAATGAATTCTTTAGGCAGGCAACTTTTAGGGTAAAAGACAGAGAACTCAATCAGCATAGACGGTGGCAAAACTTTTGTGCTACCAGAAAGTCTTACCATTATCACCTGTTTTTATCCCACTTCAGCAAGTAACCTAAAATATTCAGCCACTTTACTTTGAAAAAGGACCACACAATATCTCCCAGTGAACCTCAAGGTGCTATAGACAGAAGCCATCTTGAGAAGGGAGCCCTTATCTGAATTTGAATCTCAGAAAACACTGCCTATTCCCATCTCTGTGATACCTACAGGCATTCTACTGTGCTAGCTCGGAGGTAGTTGACTCATGGAGCCAACTTGTTCACCTCAGCAGAGTGATTTGACCCAAACTCTTCAGATGCAGAGGATGGGTATTGTGATAAATACAGAACTTTAGATTTATAAGAGAAACAAAGGAATCTAGAGTGCTAGTTAGTGCCAATGTCTCACACCTATAATCCTAGCTACTCAAGATGCTGAGATCCGAGGAAGCCAGCCTGGGCAAGAACGTCCATGAGACTTTCATCTCCAGTAAACTACTCAGAAAAAGCCAGAAGTGGCGCTGTGACTCAAGTGGTAGAACACTAGCCTTGAGGGGAAAAAAAGCTTAGGGACAGCACCTAGGCTCTGAGTTCAAGCTGCAGACTTGCAAGCGTGTGCACACACACACACACACACACACACACACACACACACGTGCTAAGCAAAATGGCAGTGACGAGGGAGAATTCTGTAACAGGGCTATAGGCCAAAGAGAAAAGGAAATCATCCCCTGAAGACTCATCCACTGCACAAACTTGGTACACAGTTAGAATGGTGAAAAAAATAAAATTTAAGAAAGGAGATCTGTGTGGCAAGTAGTCTTCAGAGAAAGGGCCTCCAGCGCTTTCTAATTCTTCTCTTAAGGCAGCTCTTAAAGACAAACTGCTCAGCCATGGAGAACAAACAACACTGCAATTTTATATCTACAACCCGCACCCCTCCCCCCTCGCAATCTCCTTAGCCCTACACTAATAGGTAAGAGATTACCTCGTGAGTCCATGTAGACCTAGAGGGCTGGGATGTAGCTCAGTGGCAAAGCTGCTTGCCTAGCAAGTGCAATGTCCTGGGTTTGATCCCAAGTACCAAAAAAGAGAAGACAAAAAAGTACAGTTAAAAAAAAACTAAACTGGGCTAGGAATGAAACTCAGTGGTAGAGTGCTTGCCTAGCATGCATGATGCCCTGGGTTCAATTCCTCAGTACCACATTCACAGAAAAAGCCGGAAGTGGCACTGTGGCTCAGTGGTAGAGTGCTAGCATGGAGCAAAAGAAGCTCAGGAACAGTGCCCAGGCCCTGAGATCAAGCTCCATGACTGGCAAAAAAATTTTTTTTTAAATTTTAAACCCAAACTGGGGCTGGGAAGGTGGCTCAGTGGAAGAGGGCTTGTCTTGCATGCACAAGGCACTGGGTTCAATTCCTCAGCTCCAGATAAGCAGAAAAAGCCAGAAGTGGCACTTAAGTGGTAAAGCACGAGCCTTGAGCTGAAGAGCTGAGGGACTGCGCCCAGGCCCAGAGTTTAGGCCCCATGACAAAAAAAAAAACAACTATGTAGATCCAGAAAACTAGTTGGGACTGCATGAAAGACATTGGAAGTTGCTGTTAGTCAAATTGGGAGTGAGGGGTTTCTGAGAGC